AGAGTCTGTCCTTATAGCTCCTGTTATCCTCCAGAGCCTTCAGGCTCCCCACTTAAAATGTTGTCTGTAGGCAGGCAGGGAAAGAGAGAGGGAGAGGAAATGAGAATGAGGCATCATCCAAGGTTTGAAGGGCCAGGTCTGGCATTTATATGCATCACTGCTGCCCACGCTTCATTGACCAGGAATGAGCCACGTGGTCATGCCGGTGTGCAAGGGGTGCTGGGAGATGTAGTTTAGCAGCATGCTCCTGATTCTGCCACATCACTGCTAAACACACAAATGTACACAGGAAGGATAGTGTTATTTTTCATCTGTGAGTTCTAAAACATGGAGACAATATGTATGTGTATGTGATCTCCATTTGACAGGTATCAATAATAGCAATCAATAACTACCACTTCCTGAGCTCCTAATAGGTACTAGGAATCGTGGTAGGTGCTTTACGTGCATTGATTAGCTTAATCTTCATGAGAACTCTTCCAGGTGACCATCCTCATCACCGTTTTATAGATGGGGACACAGAGACTCAGGGAGGTCAAAGTCACACAACCTTCGAATGATAGATCAGGAATTCAAATTCAGATTCTCATGGTCCAAATTCCCAGGACACGTCTTCAACTTGGGTTGGAGCCCAGGCATTCAATCAAATTCCTGGATACCTGCTGGGGATCAAGCCATATTTACCTTAGCACACTTCTCCGTCAGGAGGGAGAAAGGGGTTAATTCCTGGTGTCTGGAAGAGGAAAAGTGAGTGAGAGCTTCTCTAAGGAGGTGAGGATGAGCTTGAGAGATGAGTTAGATTTCATTCTGAGGGGAGGGAAAAGGACAGTCTGGACAGGAGGACCGACATGGGCATAGCTGTGCAAATGCGTTGTGTTGTGTTGTGTGTCTAGGATAAAGCTGTGCAAGTATACGCACGAGTATGTTAAAGTATTTTAATCTTCGTTCCCTTAGAGGATGAGGGGAGCAGAGGACATACTGGAGAGAATGTGGTCACACATTAGCTCAAAAATATTTTGTGTTGTTTATTGACTGCAGCATGTTATAGACCAATGGTTTTACTGTTCCTGAAAGAATGCTGTGTTATAGTTATGGGCACATTACTTTTAAATCTGTCTATGTCATTTGATCACACAAAAGGAGAAAAGAAAAAGGATAAAATTGAATTTGAGAGATCTCCCTCCAAATTTGCATTGGGCATTCCAGGAACAGAGAGACCTATTTCGTGGGCAATCCATAGCCTAGAGAGGAAAAGATGTGTTTCATGCATAGAATGCTTAATGTTAAATACTAACTCAGGCAGCTAAAATATCCAGCAGGCAGTGGGGAAAGGATATTTCAATTTTCTCTATGAGCTGGGAGAATGTTCTATCTCTCTGTTTGTTGTCTTGTTTCAAGCAGAGGTGATCTTGAAACACTTCTGAGAGACTGAGCTCACACCTCCCTCCTGCAATGTATTCCCAAACCTCCAGGTTCCCCTTCTCTGAACACCCACAAGTTGCTCATCTCTCACTATAATATGTGTAAATGTGTGTTTCAGGGTCATTATCCCTCAGACTCCTGGGAGCAACTTGAGAGCAGGAATTACGTCTCATTCAGTGTTGCAATGTCAGTATCCCACTCAAATCCTCGCATTTATTATGGGCTCCAAACTGTGTGAGAAAGGACTTGGAACCAACCATAATGTCGAGTCGCCCTCCCAAGCCCCAGTACAATTCATGAAAAGTTTCACTTCCATCTTCCCTCTAAATCCACAGAGATTAGGACAGCCCCCTAAGGTCCATCTCCTGGATTTAAACTGGACCTTCTGCTTGCAGCTGGATGTAAGGGCAGAGTTCTCTTGGAGCTCAGAGAACACAGGGGTGCCGAAATGGAGAGAGGCGGGTGAACCCATCGCTCAGGACAAAGCTTCTTCCAAACCTTTCTGACGTCCTTGAATTGACTGGCCAACTCTTTAAGGCACTGGCATCTTCACTCATGTCCAGGGGCAGAAGCTGAATATTGTTGGCCCCCAGAGTCTCCTTTAGAAAAGAAAAGCAGGACCTGCGTCACGGTAGCTCAGAGGTAAGAAAACAAGAGCACTTGATTTGGGAAAGGAAAAAGGGGAAGACCAGAAAAGTTCTCCCTCCTACAAGTCACCTGTGGGGTGCTAAGCCCTACCTGGTGCCATGGAGACTACCTGAGACTTAATCCCCATGACAGTGTGAGAGGGTCCCTACTGCAGATGAAGACACGAGGGTCGGAAAGTCAGAGCCCTGGTCTAGGTCAGGGACAGAGCCTGGGCTGGAACCAGTTTCTGTCTGATCCCAAAGCCCTTCTCTGAACCTGAATGACAGTATATTTTAAACTGAGGCTTCTAAAAGAAATGTATCAGGTCAATACTAGCATTAAAAATCACATGGCGTGGCGTGCCTGGCTGGGTCGGTCAGTGGAGGGTGTGACTCTTGGTCTCGGGTTTGTGAGCTCAAGCCCCATGTTGGGTGTAGAGATTCCTTTAAAAAAAAAAAAAATCCCATGGCAGAGAACGCGAGAGAAAATATCAAAGGGAATCACATAGAATAAAGGTACGTGTTCTTTGTTAGATTTCTGTTTTATTTGTGTTGTGTTGTGTGTGTGTGTTTTTGGGGGGGCGCCACTGTGATGGGTAACAGCGTGAATGTATTTCTTACCCGCATAATGGTAAAAACTCATGAGAGGAACTGCACTCTCTTTTCCCGCATCTAGATTCCTTGTACATAGAAAGCAGGCAATAAATGAAAGCCGTCTTTACACAGTTTCTTCTTCATTCCTGATGGAAACATTGTTACCGTCTTTGTAATAGTTAACTCAGGTTTAGCGAGATTAAGTATCTAGCTCGTGGATACACAGCAAGCAAGCTGCTGGTCATAAATTTCTCTGCAGGGGTGAAAACCAAGTCAACCATAAGGGCATCTCTGGCCCTTGGTGCAATTGAAGTGTAACAAATGTGTGTGCAATGGGCTGGAAATGTTTGAATCATCCCCTGAGAGTCCAGCACCTTTTCAGGTATACTTACCTGTTCTTTGTCAGATTAATCAAAGGTATTCTAGAGCGCCTAATGTTATCAGAGAGGCAAGATAGCCTCAAGAAGTCTTCATGAAGAAGCGAAGATAAGATCAGGGGCGGCTAGAAGGGAAGAGGAGGGCAGAAGCAGGACTAGGGTAAAGCAGAGCAGAGAGAGGAAATCCAGCAGAGAAGTCCATGGAAAAAAGTTGTGGCAGCAATTCATTTTTATTTAGAACCAAGGAAGGACCCTGCCAGCCATATTAGCGGCTCAGCCCTCGTTCAGGACCAAGAACAGCCCAACAGGCCAGGTGGCCTTGTTCAGAGCTAAGAACATCCACCCCAGTCAGAAGTTGGCCTGAAAAGAGCTTTAAGCACCAACTTTGCTCCTTTTGTCTTTCTCTGACAGACTTATTTCACTTAGCATTATACCCTCTAGCTCCATCTGTGTTGTTGCAAATGGCAAGATTTCATTCTTTTTCATGGATGCATAATATTCTACTGTGTGTATACACATCTTCCTTATCCATTCATCAGTCGATGGACACTTGGGCTGTTTCCATAAATCACTATATTGTACACCTGAAGCTAATATAATGCTGTACATTAACTATATTGGAATTTACATAAAATATAAGATAATAAAATAAAATAAAGATGCAATGACTCCCTTGTACTCATTAGCTATTTTAAGAACATGACTGTTTATCTTGAAGCACCTGTGTGCTCTTCCTAGACCACTCCTCACTGGTAAGATGTATCCTCCCTGAATTTTGGGCTCATTATTCTCCTATTTTATTTTGCCATGTGACTTTGCATCCCTAAACATTATATTTCTTAAAAATTTTTGCACAGTTTAAATTCTATATAAATGGAATTATAACTGTTTGCACACTTATGTAACTTTTCCTTTTTTGTCCAATATAAAGTTTCTGAGATTGATTTATTCATAACATTAGATGTGGTTCTGATTCATTCATTTAATTAAAGAATAGTATTCCATTATATAATGAGATCACGATTTATTTATCATTTCTACTACTGGACATGGCATATTTACGTTTTTGGTTTTTTTTTTTCCTTTTTACTGGTAAAACAGTGCTGCTGTGAACAGTACTTACTCTGGACATATGCTTGGACATAGAATTTCTGGGACATGGTCACATCTTGAAACTTACTACATTATGCCAAATTGTTTTCTGAAGTGAGCATACAATTCAGACTCCCTGCAACCGTGTAGGAAAGTTCTCATTATTAAACTTACTATTTTCAGACATTTATATTTGTGCCAATTCCATGGATGTGAAGTGGTATCTAATTTTGGTTTTAATTTTCATTTCCTTGGCTCCTAATGAGATTAGCCTATTTCCATGTTTCGAGTGATGAATTATTCTTTGGCGAGGTATACTTTCAGGCCTTTTCCCCAATTTTCTATGGAAAAAAACTATTTTGCATATTGATTGGCCAATTTCTTTGTAGATCCTACATAGGGATCCCTTGTTACTCATTTGTATCACAGGAATATTTTTCCAGTTGGTGATTTTAATTTTTTTCTCATGATCAGATTTTCTTTTGATGATTAGATATTTACATTTTATTTTTAAAATTTTGTTAAAGTTTATTTATTTATTGAAGTGATCTCTACACCCAACGTGGGGCTTGAAAGAAAGAAATCCATCCTAGAAAAGACCACTTAAGGTCATCAAAAGAAAACAAAGAACAATCATAGCTCTCACCTCCATTTTACAGACAAGATAACTAAGGCTCATAAAGGTTGTCTTGCCGAAGATCACAGATTTGCTAAGTACAGGTGGAAGATTTTCGATTCCAGTTTTGCAACTTTCCAGCCCACCAGTCTTCCCGACAACAGTTAACCTACAGCATGTACAGTGGCTCTCGGGGCCCCTGATGCTTCCTCTTTTACCATTTACTCCTGCCTGGATCATGGTCTCTGCTAACTTATTTCTTTCTCCACTTAGATGGAGAGGTCCCTGGAGTCGGGCAACATGACCAGAGTTCAGGAGTTTGTTTTGCTGGGTTTGTCCACCAGGCTAGACATAAGGGATGTCCTGTTTGCCGTCTTCCTGACCCTCTACCTGCTGGCCCTCCTGGAGAACACGCTCATCATCTACCTCATCTGCAGTCACAACGAGCTCCGCAAGCCCATGTACTTCTTCCTGGGCAACCTCAGCTGCCTAGAGATGTGCTACGTGTCAGTGACCATGCCCAGACTACTCGTGGGGCTGAGGACTGGACCCTGCCATGTGTCCTTCACAGCCTGCATGACCCAGCTCTTCTTCTTCATCTCCCTCATCTGCACGGAGTGCACCCTCCTGGCCTCCATGGCCTATGACCGCTATGTGGCCATCTGCTGCCCACTCCACTACCCACTGCTCATGAGGCCTCAGGTCTGCCTGGGCTTGGCCTTGTCCTCCTGGCTTGGGGGACTGCTGGTCTCGGTGATCAAAACAGCATGCATTGCCAGCCTGTTCTACTGCGGCCCCAATGTCCTCAACCACTTCTTCTGTGATGTCTCCCCTCTGCTCAACCTGTCCTGCACCCATGTGGCCCTGACCGAGCTGGTGGACTTCATCTCTGCCATCATCATCCTCTGGGGCTCCCTCCTTGTAGCCATAGCCTCCTATGTGGCCATCGGGAGGGCTGTGCTCCGCATGCCGTCAGCCGCTGCCCGTCACAAAGCCCTCTCCACCTGTGCCTCCCACCTGGTGGTGGTGGGCATCTTCTACTCAGCCACTCTCTTCATCTATGCCCATCCCAGCCACATAGAAGCCATGGACCTCAACAAGGTGCTGTCAGTCATCTACACAGAGGTCATGCCCATGTGCAACCCAGTCATCTACTGCCTACGGAACAGGGAAGTCCAGGCAGCATTTCGTAGAACCCTATACTGGTCCTGAAGCTGACCAGCTGACCAGGGCATGGGGAGATCTCAGGTTATCAATACTTTTCATTTTTATTGAGATATAATTCACATGCTATACACTTCACCCTTTAAAATGTGCAATTCATCAGGTTTTAGTATATTTACAAAGCTATGCACCATCACCACAATCTAATTCCAGAATGTTTTCATCACTACCAAGAAAACCCATACACATTAGAAGTCACTCCCCAAACCCGGCCGGCCAGCCTTAAAAAACTGCAAATCTTCTTTGTTTCTATGGATTTGCCTGTCTTGGACATCTTGTATAAATGAAATCATATAATATGTGGCCTTTTCTGTGGCTTCTTTCACTTAGTGTAATATTTTCGAGGCGTATGCATGATGTAGCACATATCAGTACTTCATTCCTTTTTATGGCCGAATAATATTCCATTGTATGGATATACCATTTTTTATTTACCCATTAATCAATTGATGGATATCTAGGTTGTTTTCACCTTTTGGTTATTGTGAAATCTTATGAAGCTTTTTTTTTTTTAAAAAAGAATTAATTATATCTCTTTATAGTTACATGGAGGCCTGACATTTGTATATGAAAAGGTAAAATTTTGGAGTAAAGTTTTAAATAAATCTTTAAATTTTTTAAAATATTTTTTTATTAGTAGGGTCTATACCCAATGTGGGGCTTGAACTCACAACCTCCAGATCAAGAGTTGCATACTCTACTGACTGAGCCAGCCAGATGCCCCAATAAATCTTTAAATTTTTAAAATTTGAAGACAAGAATTCTGGAAGAGTAAAAACATTTTTTTTTGCAAATTTCAAGATTAATGAAAGTTATTAACTGAAATTGATACAATGCTTCTGGAGGGCAATTTGGCAATATGCATAAAAAAACCTGAATGTGCGTGGGATTTGACAGCATACCGGTTAAAAATCTTTTGCCAGGAAAATAAGTTAGGATGCTTGCAGCAATGCATTTTGTGCTTTTATTTTTTTATTTAATTTAATTTTTTAAAGTATTTATTTATTTGGGAGCGAGAGCGAGAGTGAGAGAATGAGAGAGAGAACACGAGGGGGTAAGGTCAGAGGGAGAAGCAGACTCCCTGCCGAGCAGGGAGCCCGATGCGGGACTCGATCCAGGGACTCCAGGATCATGACCTGAGCCAAAGGCAGTCGCTTAACCCACTGAGCCACCCAGGCGCCCCTACACAGATATTTCAAGTCTGTCACATCTAGTGCCTTGGGCAAGCTGTTCCATCTGAATGCTGTGATCTTCCTTGTCCTCCCAGTGTGTGCAGACACCTTTGAGGGCTGGCTTCCGGGTCCCTTTGTTATGGAGCGTTCCTTAATCACCCTGATACTGAGGCACGAATGCATCTCTCCTCTTTCCGTCCTTCTGTGGCTCTCACTTCACACAAGTGAGAATATACAGACCACAACAGGAGCGCTGCAAAACCATGGACCCCATCACTCTCGTTCAGTGATGCCAATGCTCAGAACAGTGCCTGGTACATGTTAGCTGCTCAGTGAATTTGGTGTAATAAATAAGTGAACAATTCACTGAAGAAAGGTAAAGTCTTCACCATCTCCATACTTCCAAAGATGCATGACTATTATAACACCTGCTGCCTATAGAGAATTTGCTGAATTCCAGGCCCTATGCAAAGCCCTATATATAGATTTGTCGCATTTTAAGCCTTACAGCTGCACTGTCAGGGAGATACGTGTGACAAAGAGTGTTGTCATCTACCAACATCACTCCTTCCTTCTGCTTTTAGTAATAGATCCACCAGATCTCAGCTGGAAACATAGCCACCCAGAAAAAAATGTTTCCCAGCTCTTCTCTTGTCCCTACATGGGGTCATAGGAGTATGCGCTGGACAAAGTTTTAGGATATGCTTTTTAGGGGAAAGATACTTTCCTGTACTTCCTTCGCTCTCCTCCTCTTCTGGTTGGAATGCAGACATAATGGCTGGAACTGGAGCAGCTATCTTGGACCCTGACCTGGAAGCTTCATGCTGAGAATGGTGGAACAAGATAGGGGGACTCAAGTTCTTTGACATTTTGGACTGTCTAATCAACCCTAAATCAATGCTGTGACGTTGATGAGAAATTAGTTCTATCCTGTTTAAGCAACTGTTTTTCAGCTGAACCCATCACCTAACTGATATGATGCTGTATTAGTCAGCTATTACTACAATACTGGTATGTAACAAGCAATCAAAAACAATTTTTTTCCAGTGGCTTCAACAGCACACATTTTTTTTCCCTGGCTTGTAGATCTACGGTTGACTGGTGGTGTTCTGCTTCAGGCTGTGGGTCACGTTTAGGTCTGTTCCACTTGTTTCTTATGCCAGAACTAGGATATGCTCTTCTCAAGCCAAATAGCAAGAAGGCAGTGGAAACAGTTAGTACTTCTTTTTTAAAAATATGTTTTTAAAGATTTATTTATTTATTTATTTTAGAGAAAAAGAGCATGAGCAGGGCTAGGGGCAGAGGGACAGGGAAAGAGAATCCACAAGCAGAGTCCCTGCTGAGCACAGAGCCCCACATGGGGCTCAATCCCAGGACCCTGAGATCGTGACCTGAGCCAAAACCAAGAGTCAGCCGCTTAACCAACTGAGCCCCCCAGGTGCCCCCAGTTGGTGCTTCTTTAGGCATCAGCTCAGAACTCTCAATCTGATCCACATTCCACTAGCCAAAGTGAATTATATGGCCAAGCAAAAGTCATCAGGAACAGGGAAGTATATTTTATCCAGAGTAAAGTCATGATAAGGACAGTGAGTAGAGAGGAATTGTGAGCAAATAATACAATATACCTGAAATAATTCTATTATTTGTATTTTATATAAGTAAATTAGGGTCAAGAGATTTTTAAAACCACTTAATTGAGGTACAATTGATGTGCAAAAAGCTATACATATTTAATGTACATGACTTTAAACTAGGATCTTGAAGAGAAATCTGCATTCCATGTTCATTGTAACGTTATTCACAATAGCCAAGATATAGAAACAACCTAAATGTCCATTGACAGATGAATGGATAAAGAAAATATGACATATACATACAATGGAATATTATTTAGTCCCCCGCCCCCAAAAAAGGGGAATTCTTGCCATTTGCAACAACATGATGAACCTGGAGAACATTATGGTAAGTGAAATCAGCCAGACACAGAAAGACACGGTATGGTATTCTTTTAGGGAGCAGAGATCTGGTGCCCATTCCCAGCTAAGGAGGCTCAGTTCTGCAGGCAGAGCTATGATCATGAGCATCCAGGAGCACAAGGTACCTGAGTCAGATGGGCACAAAAGAAGTTGTAGCATTAGAGATGCTGCCTGTGTGACCTTGAGCAACTTACTGAACTTCTCTGAACGTCGCCTTCCTCAACTCTAATTGGGAAGAGGCATCAACCTACCCCACGTTGACTGATTTATCACAAGGTAAAATTTACAGAGTGGTTTGCATCAGCTAAAGGGAGGGAGGAAGTTGTGTCAACTGATACTACATATTTTCCAAACTATTTGAACTAAATCGTCTCATTTCTCAGATCATATTACTGGACATACTACTTCTGTCACTTAACAATGCTTGTGTGAGACAGGCATATAGAGAATTTCCATGGCCATTTTAAAGGTTTTCAAGACACATCTCCAAAGGCAAGGGAAACAAAAGCAGATATGAATTTTTGGGACTTCATCAAGATAAAAAGCTTCTGCACAGCAAAGGAAACAGTCAACAAAACAAGGAAGCAACCCAAAGAATGGGAGAAGATATTTGCAAATGACACTACAGATAAAGGGCTGGTATCTAAGATCTATAAAGAACTTCTCAAACTCAACACCCAAAAAACCAATTGTTCAGTCAAAAAGTGGGCAGAAGACATGAACAGATACTTCTCTGAAGAAGACATACAAATGGCTAACAGACCCATGAAAAAGTGTTCATCATCATTAGCCATCAGGGAAATCCAAATCAAAACCACACTGAGATACCACCTTACACCAGTTAGAATGGCAAAAATTGACAAGGCAAGAAACAATGAATGTTGGAGAGGTTGTGGAGAAAGGGGAACCCTCTTACAGTGTTGGTGGGAATGCAAGTTGGTACAGCCACTTTGGAAAACAGTGTGGAGGTGCCTCAAGATGTTAAAAATAGAGCTATCCTGGGGCACCTGGGTGGCTCAGTCTTTAAGCGTCTGCCTTTGGCTCAGGTCATGATCCCAGGGTCCTGGGATCAAGCCCCACATTGGGCTCCCTGTTTGGCGGGAAGCCTGCTTCTCCCTCTCCCACTCCCCCTGCTTGTGTTCCCTCTCTCGCTGTGTCTCTCTCTGTCAAATAAATAAATAAAATCTTAAAAAAAAAAAAATAGAGCTACCCTATGACCCAGCAATTGCACTACTGGGTATTTACCCCAAAGACACAGATGTAGTGAAAAGAAGGGGCACATGCATCCCAATGTTCATAGCAGCAATGTCCGCAATAGCCAAACTGTGGAAGGAGCCGAGATGCCCTTCAACAGACAAATGGATAAAGATGTGGTCTATATATACAGTGGAATATTACTCAGCCATCACAAAGGATGAATACCCAACTTTTACATCCACATGGATGGGACTGGAGGGGATTATGCTAAGTGAAATAAGTCAAGCAGAGAAAGACAATTAACATACGGTCTCACTCTTATGTGAAACAAACAATAGCATGGAGGACCACAGGGGAAGGGAGGGAAAACTGAAGGGGGAGAAATCAGAGAGGGAGGCAAACCATGAGAGACTATGGACCCCAGGAAACAAACTGAGGGTTTCGGAGGGGAGAGGGGTGGGGGGAGGGGGTAACAGGGTGATGAGTATTAAGGAGGGCATGTGTTGTGATGAGCACTGGGTGTTATACATAAGTAATGAATCATTGAACACTACATCAAAAACTAATGGTGTACTATACAGTGGCTAACTGAACATAATAAAAAAATAAAGGTTTGTGAAGGCATAAAACTCATAACAGATTCAGTCTTTTACCTATGGATAAATATAGGAAATTTTTAGTTTATGGTTATTGCAAGAAATGTTACAATAAACACTTTGATTAGCTACCTTTGTCCACATGTCTGAATAGTTTTATATTTTGCTGGAAAGACTGGTTAATGCTATGACAACAATAACCCTGAAATCTCAGTGACTTAATTTAATCAATGTTTATCAATTGCTCCTGTCCCATGTCCACTGAAGGTTGGCAGGTGGGGAGGATTCTGCTAACCACGGTCAGGAACTCAGGTGGGAGAAGTACCCACTGTTTTGAAACTTGCCAGTCATGACAAGACAAGACAATGCAAGACAGAAGAGAGAGATCAGGAGGTCCCACACCAGGAACTCAGTGCTTTGGCCTGTAAGTGACATAACTGCTTGTTGACCAGAACCATTCGCATGACTTCACCCACCCACGTGACTCTACTCACCCGCCAAAAAACCCAGAAAGTGCAATCCTACATGTCCCTGGCAGGTAGAGGGCTGGAATCATTGATGAAGAGCATTAACGACTATCTCAATATCTATAGCACAAAGATAAAATGGCAATTGCTGTATCCAAATGTATGTGAATTTGAACTTGAATTACTATTGGCAGATTGTTCTACAAAAACAATCTGCATTCCCACAGCATCTTAGAGAGTGCCTCCCCACCCCTCCATCAACCAACACTGGGTTTTCTCAATTTCTTTCTTTTTTTTTTTTTTGCTATGCAGAAATTCATCATATTACTTTGATTTTCATGTCTCTAGTAATGGTGAAGGTTGAGCATCATTCCATAGGCTTATTGGCCTTTCCTATTACTTAAAAAACCAAACTATTAGGCTTTTTGTCTTTGTGAAAATAGTCCTGAATGGGTATCTCTGTAGCTCAGCTTTTGCTCATTTCCTTCATTTTTCCCTTCAAGATAAATTCCCAAAGTGGAACTGCTGGATACAAGGGCATTCAGATTCTCAAGACTTCCTGTATTTATTAACAAAATACCCTTCTAAAATGCACCAGTCTATATGGTCACAAACAACACCAGAACATGCTCATTTCCCTTGAGGTATTGTCAACATGAATTTTTACTACTTAAACTAAAAATTAAAAGTATGCACAATATATAAATGGATCAAATCAACACATTGTACACCTTAAATTTACACAATGTTACATGCCAACTATATCTCAATAAAGCAGGGAAAAGTAAAAGTAAATTTAAAATAAATTTAAGATGAGCTAGTGTGATGAGTAAGTCATCCCATAGAAGGTCATTCTTTGAATATCTATTTTCTCCTATAATATGTTTATTTATTCAATTATAAAGGTCATACAAATAATCCTAAAATTTGTATGGAACCAGAAAAGACCCCGCATAGCCAGAGGAATGTTGAAAAAGCAAAGCAAAGCTGGCGGCATCACAATTCC